GTGCCGATAAATGCCGGTGCGTGGGAGGCGGGTGATGCGCCCCATTCTCCAACAATGGCGCCCGAGGCCCGACAGATTGGAATCCCGGGCGGTGACCAATGCGGACACCATGCATCTGCTGCCTGACCAATGCGTGCCCATCCAGTGGGCACATCCCGTGTACGTGCAGCATCCCACGTATTCCCACAATGCAGGCCCAGATCTGCATGGCATTATGCGCTCGAGGCAGTGTCGTTTCATATAGATGATCCGGCAGCTGTCCGTCAGGAAGCGCCCCACCGTCCACGGCGCGGTCAAAGTTGCATCGAGATGTTCGGCTCGCCGACGGTCACGCCGTTGCTTCAGGCGACGAGAGACACGTGGCCTGCCGCGAATATTCAACCCCTCGGCATCAGAAAATTTCGCCGTTGGTATCGCGCTGACCGTTCGCGCTCGGTCCGCACTCGGTCGCTCCCAGGCACGGGAAGCAAGACCGTAACCAGATGCATTGCAGGATGAGCGCGTCAGTTAAGTAACTGTACTCATGGAACCATTCGTTCCATCCCCCTTCCATTCCCCGCATACATGCCACCGCAACACCACCACCATATTCACCGTGCCACACGTCACCATGTATCTCCATATGTCACATAATCACTCATCAATTGTTCTTTCAGCCTCACAGTTACTATTCTTGCTTCGCACGTTTTCGACAGACCGCTGTTTGGGGCGATGCGCATCACGGTAACCGTCGGAATGGCGACTCAACTCACTTCGCACTGCCTCAAACGTCAGTTTTCCGCCACAGCGGCGCATGCATCTGGGGCTGCTAGATGCCGCGAGCAGACCAGAGGCTCTCGCGCTGGGGCTGGGGCTGCTGTGCAGATTCTCCGCACCATTACGTTTTAGTTGTTGCTCTGCATAATATGGCCATAAGTTGCGTCGCTATGCGAAAGGTTTGAGTATTGCGTATGGCAGCTCACTGTGTGGCCCAGCACCACAGACCACCACCAGACCAGGAATTGAGCGCGGTGAGGCGCTGGGCGGTCTTGGCTTATCAGCAATAAGCTAAAAAAGGGCACGCCGGCAAAAAAAGAAAAAAAAGATGCCAACAGATGAGGGTGCCGTGAATGCAACGCCCAACACGATCCTGGGTGGAAACTGCGCATGTGTTTATCAGAAAATGGCTACATTAAAGCTAGAGACATTTGGAAACAGACCAAATCTGGGCCCTTGGTTTTCAACACGTCGTGAGCAGTATGCCATATTACTCATTTGGTTGTTTTTGGGCCGTGGCCGTTCTCGAAATGCACAGTAACAGTCAAAATGCTCTAGGAATTTACACAGTCACTGTGCTTTTCGAAAAAGCACTGTGCTTTTCGAAAAAGCACTGTGCTTTTCGATTTGGCGCAATCGAAATAAAAAACAAGAGTTGGGGGCAGTTTTAGTCTACAACATTGTGGACAAATTGCTTCAAATAATCGAGTCCTCGGACACCTGTTTGTTGCACGATGAGGGTACGTGCATCATTGATGGCCTGCGCATGTGGCCAATGGGCTGATTGAATTCCAATCTCTTGAATGAAGAATTTAAATGGGCTGCACGTGGAAATGCGCATTATGGTGCATCCGACGGTTGGCGTTTGGCGCGGGTACAACAATGGTCAATGATCCGGGCCAACATGACAAAGTACTCCCGAGAGGACATTCAACAGCCACATTCATCGGAACGTGAAGTATGGAAGCCGCTGGGAACATATTTCTGACTGAACGTGCGCTCCCTTCTGCGTCCAGTGGTACCGCCATTCTGACAGCGTTCCATGTTTTTGCCGAGTAGGCACCGATGGCGCGCTGTGGTCGCCAGATTCTCGCAATACCTGGCACCTCTGCAGAGCTGGCTGCAGTGTGCCAGAAACCCTGTTTCTGGAAAGTGACATAAAGACACGCATGTATTATAAACACATCCAGAGTGGCAAGAGAGTATTATGAAGTGCTACAGCCGCAGAACGTGCGCATGAAGCCGCGTTGGGACCAGGTTTCGTGTGCGGGGAATCTAGCGGGAGGCCTTCGTGTTAATTGCGAGGCAGCGCCTCGTTCGTTGCACAACAAAAGAACGCGTGCGCTCGTGCGTTACGCGTAACAGCTCGCGCAACCTACAACATACTACAGTATGTTGCACAGCTCTACAGTATGCTCAACATATCATGTTGTAGAGCATGCAGGCTGTTACGCTGGCCATGGCAACGTTGGGGCATGCAGTTTCTCGTAATGACACGCAACCAAGACTTCTTGACTCTCAATTGAGTTCTCGACACAGCGGCCATCTCAGTGCTGGCGCGCCGTTGGGCCTCACTGCGGGAGAGTGCGTCGCCAGCAGGAGACACCATTTGGGGGACGCCAAACGGCGGTGCAATTTCGACACTACTGGGCGGCATCACAGCGGTCGCGATTGCATAAAGTTGCTGTGATGGCATCAATAATGTCGATGCCATCACGGCAACTTCATGGTTTGGCACTTATGAGTGTCGAACGGTTTAGCTGTTGGCAGCGCCCAAGTGATATCTTCTGCTGGCGCACGAGCCCCGTCTGTGGTGCCGGCCGTCTCTTGTTCCGTTTCTTTACGTAAACGCCCTTGGCGTGCGTCGCCAACCAAAAGGGTATCGACCGCTGCCTGAGCTGGAGGGTTGATTGCTAGCGATGAGTATTTAAATTTTTCTGTATATTTCAAGGGTTGATTGCTAGCAACGAGTGTTTCAATTTTTCTGAATATTTGGAGGGGCGATTGGTAGCAATAAATATTCCAATTTTCTGAACATTTCCCTCTTGGGCAGCACGTGTCAAAGGACCAGTTAGGCAGCGCTGCCCGACTTGCCCTTTGATGTGCGCCTGTCCAATGGCATGTTCTATTTTGTGAGTTTTTGTTCCTTTTGTGTTGGATTCGGTGTGTTTTGGTTTTTATTTTGTGATGGCTTGTTTTGTGCATACTGGGCCATCCACACAATGTATTGGGCCATAGACAGCCTTTGAGGACGCCAGTTGGCAAAGGCTCGTGTGAATGATCCATTCTACTGGATTTCCAACCATTTCGATCGTCAGCTAAATGACCAGCCAATCAAACGGTCCAATGATATCGCTCCCTTTCCGCAGTTCTCGCCGCAGAGCAGGTTTGGGATGCGTGTTGGGCAGGTTATTCCAACTCGTTGCTCAAGGGGGAACTTCGGAATGTCAAAGAACGATCGTGGGTGAAACGAAATGTCGAGCTCCTATGTCAGTTGATAGTTTGCGAGGTGCCCTCAGCAAGGACGTTTGCAAGCGTCATATCTGGTCACGGAGTCCGCCGGCGTGGAAACTTGAACAAGGGCGAGTCTTCCAGTTGCGATTTTGCTGATAACAAAATTTCTCTAGCGACCTTCATGCCTGCTCATACACTACTATGCTTCATATGCTTCATAAATTAAAGTTGTTGTGGGGCCAATTTCCTGTCGTGGTCCCAGTTTGGTGTCGAGCCCAAAAATCTCAACAATGCTGCACATTATCAAGACACCTGCCCTGCTAGGACTGATATGCCACAGAATTCACACAGCCTGCATTTTTGAGGATGTTGCATGCGTTGGCAAAGACACAAACCTAGTTCACCAAGGAACCACTTGAGATGTGGCTGAACTCAAAGGTAGAAATCGATGAGCTGGGCCGGGGGGCAATCACCAGCTTTGAAGAGTCACGGTTCGGACGCAAGCCTGTCACGAGAGCGTGACAATGTGTGAGAGTGTGAGTGGCTCCTTGTGTGTGTGAGGTTGTTGGGGTTTGAGCACGCTTGCTGGTAACCGCCTGCTCCTGAAGATGAGGCATTGCCCCGCCCCCTATCGGCCACAGCCTGTGAGACTTCACGTCATTAAATAGCAGTCACGCGCCGCGTCTCACGGCAGCCACAATGTAGCGTTCATTTTCACGTTGACGTCAATTCTGTGCCCCTGGCAGACGCAATGGCAATGGCGGAGCCACGCACAGCAATCAATTGTGTAGCATCAAGGTGGATTTAGGCGCTCGAGCATGGAACGCTCTGGGCATTAATGCACAGGCGACCACTCCACACCAGTCACAACGCCATCCATCTCTGACACCTGGTACCCAGCTGCGGTGATCCCTGGGCGCATACCCCCGCCATTCACTCCACCACCCGCCGCCCCTGCCGCATGCCAGTGCCTCTCATCCATTGTCCCCATGGGCGCTCCCCCAACTGCCCCAGGAATCACGAACCCCGACCTTGGACCTGCACCTGCAGGCAGCACATCCCTCCCATCAGCATCGCCATCAACGCCCAGAGCCATTCCGTCTTCATCGCGGGCTGGAGAGGGAGGGGTGCATGCGCCCCAGTGCATGCCACAGTCCAGGGCATCCTCTTCAACGCCCTCAACAATGCCCTCATCGACACTCCTGAGGGCACCAACCTCAGAAGATGGTCCGGAATTGGGCAGAATGTCTGCCTCCACGCCCTCCACAATGCCCTCCTCACAATCAAGGTCAGTTTTGATGCCTCCTTCCATGCCTGGCCTGGGTCCATCTGCATACTTGACGCCCCTGGTGGGGTCACCAGGCTCAGCCGGCCACCTGGCATGATCTGGCACGTCCCCATCAGCAACTGACCCCAGGTGCTCAGAGGCAACAGGCGTGGGTGGCCAGCCACCAGAATCCGGTGCATCATCCTCAACACCCTCCACAATGTCCTCCGTGTAATCAGATGTTGCCAGTGCAGCACCCTCAAAAGAAGCCCCAGATTGCTGCCAGACCCCGTCTTCCATGGCAGCCACAGTCCCGTCTTCATACTCTTGAAGGCCCACTGCATCGCTGTCTTCAACGCCCGCCACGATGCCATCATCGTCCTCAACAGTTGCAAGGGCTGCAGCGTCAGCGCCAGTCCCATGCTTTTGTGTGTGCTCCTCCACGCCAGCCACAATGGCACTTGCATTGTCTTCAGCTCCTGCCACAACACCGTGTCCATCATCTTCCATGGTACCCACAATGCTGTCTTCACCATCTTCAGCTTGCGCCAAAACGCCATCATCGTCTCCTGCTGCAACACCATCTCCACACTTGGCACTCTCTGAAGCTGCAGCGCCCGCAGGCCACCTGACATAGTCCAGCACCCCTTCATCAGTCCCCTCTATGAAATTCTCCTCATCTGCATCCCTGCCTGCCACGATGCCATCCCCATAGTCGACACTCGCCAAAACTGCAACCTCAACAGAATGCCTGGCAAGACCATGTGTGTCCTCTTCCATTCCTAGCGCAATGCCGGCTTCACTATTCTCAATGCCTTCCACACCATCACTGTTGTCCTCCTCCACACCGACCACAATCGAATCTTCATCCTCATAAGAGCCCACCACAATGGCGCCTTCATCATCTTCAAACCCTTCCACGATGCCATCGTCCCTGTCGACACTCACAGGGGCAGCCAGCACAGCAAAAGACCAGGAAAGTTCCAGGTTGCCTTCCTCAACGCCTTCCACGATGCCCTCTTCATCGCCTACACTGTCAGTGGCTGCACCAACGAGCATGGACTGTTCCAGGATGCTTTCCTCAACACCCGACACGATTCCACCATCCGCGCCAGCCAATTCATCAGGCCCAGAATGTTCCAGATCACTCCCTTCAGCGCCCATCACGATGTCATCCACATCGCCATCCTCCTAAACACCCTCGACAATGCCCTGGCCATCCCAGCAGTCAGCATTTGTAAGCACACCTATTTCAAAGGAAGGCCCGGCAAACTGGATCGTGGCTTCCTGGGCACCCTCAACGATGCCATGTCCGCCCTCATCGCCAGCCCTGCCAGCAGGCCTGTCTGGGCACCCAGCATAGCCTGACACATTACCTTCCGCACCCTCCACAACGTCTCCCTCTTGATCTGAACATGCAGGCCCAGCAGGCAGCCCAGGCTGTTCCAACACGTCGTTTCCAACACCCAACAATACTCCATCTGCCTGCTTCTCAGCTGTTGCTGCATTGCCATGCCCACTCCAAGTGGCCTCTTGGATATAGCCAGTAGCGGCCTCTTCCACACCAGCCACGATTCCATCACCAACTTCTTCAGTGCCCACCACAGCGCTGCCAACGTAGTCAATAGCGCACTCTTCGACACCAGTCAGGATCCCATCATCAGCCCCTTTGGTGTGCACCGCAGTGCTGCCAACATAGTTAATGGCTCCCTGTTCAACACCAGCCACGACCCCATCATTAAACTCTTCAGTGCTCACCGCAATGCTGCCGACACAATCAATTGCACCCTCCTCCACACCAGCCACGATTCCTTCATCAACCTCTTCAGTGCCCACCGTAGTGCTGTCAACATAATCTGTAGTGTCCTCTTCGACACCAGCCACTATCCCATCATCAACCTCTTCAGTGCCCGCCACAATGCTGCCAACATAGTCAATAGCCCCCTCTGCAACACCAGCCACGATCCCATCATCAACCTTTTCAATGCTCATCACAGTGCTGCCGACATAATCAATTGCACCCTCCTCCGCACCAGCCACGATTCCTTCATCAACCTCTTCAGTGCCCACCGTAGTGCTGTCAACATAATCTATAGCGCCCTCTTCGACACCAGCCACTATCCCATCATCAACCTCTTCAGCGGCCGCCGCAGTGCGGCCAACATCATCAATAGCCCCCTCTGCAACACCAGCCACGAACCCATCATCAACCTCCTCAGTGTCTGCCACAGTGCGTCCGACACAATCAATCGCACCCTCCTCCACACCAGCCACGATTCCTTCATCAACCTCTTCAGCGCCCGCTGTGGTGCTGTCAACATAATCTGTAGCACCCTCCTCGACACCAGCCACTATCCCATCATCTTCTTCAGCGCCTGCTGCAGTGCGGCCAACATAGTCAATAACCCCCTCATCAACACCAGCAACGATCCCATCATCAACGTCTTCAGTGCTCACCACAGTGTCACTGTGGTAGTCAACGGTGGCAAAGATGGCAACCTCAATGGACGGCCTGGCATTTTCCAAAGCAAGATCTTGGGTACCTGCAAGGATGACATCTTTGCATTCATCGCTCCCAAGCACAGGTTCCCCAGTCAGCTGTCTGCTATTTCCTGCCCTGTCTTCCTCAACTCCTTCCACCACCAGATCATCGTCGTGCCCATCATCGTGCACCGCATCGTCCATTGCGATAGGGCGCCATGCACGCTGTGCAGCCCCCGCCATTATGTCAGGATCACCCCTCACAGGTGCAGCAAAATCCCTTGGCACCCAACTGGTCCCTGCATCTTGCTCAATGCCCTCAACTGTGCCATGTCCGCTCCCTGGCCCAAGCACAGCATAAGACCTGAGGGGATCCCCATCATTCCCCGCCGATTCCGCACGGGCTGCCCTGGCAGGCGCCTTGCCTTCTTCAACGCCCATGGTGACGCCATCTCCAGCTGCGCCAAATGCTGGCCCAGCAGCCCCCACACCCTCCCCCGCGTCGCTCTCAACATCCTCTACTCCCAACACCACCCCACTGCATGCGCTCTCAAAAGTCGTAGTGCCAACGGGGGAGAAGAAGCACTCTGCACCATCCGTTTCCACCCCAGCAACAATACCATCATCACCATCATCATTCTTCGAAAGTGCAAGGCGATGCATTGCCTGCGGAGCCGCACCGCCCTCCTCCCCACCTGCCACACCAGCGGAAGATGCCCACCCTTGCTCATCTCCAAGCAGCCTGCCGTGCGCATCATCAACCGCACTCCTGCCCACACAATCCTCCCCTGGGCTCCACACCCCGCCGTGAGCATCCTCTTCCTCGGCCACGACAATCCCATACTCCGACACGGGCGATTCAGGGACCCCAAGGAATGGGTCCGTCAGGCGCCCCACCGTACCCCCCCTGCCCTCATCGCCGCCAACAGGTGCTGATCCACAAAAGCGATTCCGGGCTGCAACAAATAAGTCATCAGCCTGCCTGCCTGGCTGCCTGCCAATCAGCCTGCCTGTGCCAGCACCAATCATGCTCCCTTGCCCGCCATCCCATTCAAGCCCACCTCTGTTGGTTCTGCCATTATGATCATCTCCAGCCAACACTATGCCCGAGAAAACTGGCGACCCCCCCCGCTCCCTCTGGCCACCATACAACCCAGTCCCTTGGGTTCCTATCGTCGGATAAACGCTCTGGGGTTTTGCCAGGGCAACCTGGGGATTGGGGTAGTGCACCGGTGGGGGCTGGTACTGCCAGTGGCTCACAGATGCGGGATGTGTTTCACCCATCGCCCCCCAAGGAGGGGCGCCTTGGGCCCCTTGCCCCGCTGGCGGGCGCACACGCACGTTGGGCAGCTTGGAAAACATCCTGCCTTGCGGCTCCCCCACCTGGCCAGAGAAGTCTGTGGGGGATGCAAACGACCGCCGATCCAGCGGGGCCATCCCAGGCACTGCGACAGGGGGCCCCCCTGAGCTGGATGGCGATTGCCCGCCGCGACCGCCGTGAGAAGATCCGCTGCTGGGCGATCTACCCCCCCTCTGCCCACCCCAGTGCCCGGGCGGGCTCCTGATCCTGGCCATTCGCCCCTGTTCATCCACCGGCGACCCCTGGACAACGCCGTCCATTTGAATCTGTTCATGACCAGTGCTGCGCCTCATGACAGGCTCCATCCCTGCCATGGATGGCGCTTGTGGCCATGGGCCATGGCTGTGGGGTTGACCATTGTCCAACGGGGGCCGGGAGGGAGCACTTTGAGCGGGTTGGCGGCACATGGCGCAGCCTGCCAGAGGCTTGCCGGAGGGCATGCAGTGTGTGCAGTACTTGCGGCCGCAGCCGGCGCAGACACGCTTCATGCGCTCCTTGCGCCCGCAGCCCGAGCAGCAGCCCTTCGATCGGTGCTCCATCTGCGAAGCACGGGGAAAGATTTGTTACACAGACAAATTGGGGGGCAGAGTTTTTGAAAAAGAGAAACAGGGGGGAAGATTTGTTAAAACAGATAAACAGGGGGGGAGATTGGTTAAAAAAGAGAAACCGGGAGAAACATTTGTTACAAAGAGAAACAAAGGAAAGATTCGATACAAGTAGAAACGGGGAGAAGGATTTGTCACAAAGGGAAACAGGGCGTACAAAGGGTACACCCCCCATAAGCAAGTGTGCGGGAGACTGTATTGCGTGCTGTGGAATGATGGTGTGGAGTCTCCGGTGCAACAAGAGGAGCACACAACACAGGTACCGCGAACAATGGGCAGATGTGGACTCAAGGGGCCCGGGCCAAAAGGGTGGAGGAAGCCAGGGCGGCCGATCATGGGCCCCGATTGCGCGCCACTTTTTGGTGCGATTGGGAACGACCCGAATTGATGGCGGATTCGGCCCAGGTGACGCGGGGGTGTAGCGCCGCTGGGGCCCCCAGGTGGGGGGTGGAATTTGCCACAAAGGGGAACAAAACAGGCCACAGTAAGGGGCACTCCTCCTAAGCAAGCGTGCGCGAGAATCTGTCCGTGCTGCGAGAAGATGATGCAGGGTATCCACTGAAACAGAAAAAGCGCACGACGCGAGCGCCGCGACGGGCAAGACGACACGTGGCGGGGAAGGCAGTGGCAGGTGGGATTGGGCAACGAGGGAGAGGGATTTCACCCACGAGGTTCGAAGGGTGGATTTTCGACGCCGGTGCTGCCCAGCGGACGTCACGCAAAAGACCGGCACCCAGCACCGGAGCGCGAACGCCCCAATTTGGCGCCGGGGTACGACAACCTCGTGGGGCACGCGGGGGCGGTCGGGGGGGCCGGCATTGGCGACAATTTCCGTGGGGTCCGCAACGGACGTCGCGGGGCGCGCGAAAGGGGGCGGCGGCCAGGCGGCCGCAGACTCCGGAACTGATCGGACGGGACGATTGACTGCCCGTCGCCGACTAAGCGGTGGGAAAAACTACGGGGGGACCCCTGAGCGAGGGTGGGCGGAATATCCACACAGTGGGGATCCCGGCTTTGTGGAATCGGGGTGCAAAAGCGGGATTTGGAGTTGCGTGTCGATCGCGCAGCTCACCTTTGAGGCGCCGCGCGGGCGGCGCCGGGCGCCGCTCGCGAGGGGAGGAGGGGCCGGCAAGGGCGCGGGTGCTTCGCGCTGGGCACGTGCAGCTTCGGGCCGGGGAATCCGTTGCTGGGTTGCTCGTACCGCACATCGGCGTACTCGAAGATACGGTGGTTGCCGCGACTACGGTTGTCTTTTGGGCCGCCCTCGAGGCGGCACATCGTTCCGCCGTGCTCTTCGGAGCCAATCGTGCACGGCCAGAAAACGTTCTCAAAAGAGCGCGGCCATTTCACACCAGCTTCTGGCGTTTTTAATATTCTGGAACATGCAACAGTCTGGATTCATTCCGGCCGCCCACCACGGTCTTCTTGGGCACACCACCGGTACTCTCTTCCCACGGAACACCCCACTGCGTTTCACAGCGCGACCCAGCGCACCCACAGTCGAGAGCAGAACGAAATTGAAGGAGACATTAAATCAATTGATCGGTCAGCAGATTCCGGAGGTCAGACTTCTGAATTGTTTGCAGCTCTGTGTGCACATCACAAGCCACAGCTCTGCTCCGCTGGCCGTTTCCACAAAATTCGGTGACGCAGCCCCAGAGGATCGCGTGCCCTTCAGCCCCCCAACCACCTCAAGCTTCCCTCCATGCCCACTTTGCGGACCCGCCCTCCGTGTCCACCAGTGTCCCTTAACGCCCAGCCCTTCAACCTTAACGACTCCCAGCTTTCTTAAATCGCGCTCGCATTCAAGCCACTACTCCACCGTCAGAATCGAACGCCGTCTGCATCTGAACATCCCACTTCTCAACACGCAATTTCCTTCTTGTTCACTGTTGTCGTATTGAATAACGACGTGCTCAAGAGCGCCGCCAACGGCAAAACGTCGTGATTATGAAGCACACAATGCTTTGAATAAAATGCCCAAAACGAAGCGCAAAATTTGTGCGGCCCGCTCTCCCTGGCAGAGCCTCCCATTACTCCCCCCGTCCCTTTTCAGCAGCACACGCACCCCACACAAAAAAGCCCGATCAAACCCCCACAAACGAATCAGCATGAAAACAGGAATCCGCGCCACCGTGCCACAACAAATTCTCCTGCAGGAGCATACGTGGAGCTTGTCGAATATGTTGAATGCTGCGGTGGAGAATATGTCGAGCATCTCGCACGCACAGCACCCGAATGCCGGACCCGCTACACGCCCCACAGGCCCAACAGATGCCTCAGCGGAAGGCTCATGTCCGCCTCCACGCTCTGCCTCGCCTGTGCCCGCGACCCTACCCCGCCCCGCCCGCTCGCACGGGAGCCATCGCTCCCCCTCGGAAGCCCGGATCGTGGCTCCGCGCCCAGCCCCGGAGCGTAGGCCTCGATCGTCGCGATGAAATGCACCTCAGGTTCCTCATCATCACCAGGCGCGAACACCGGTCCATCCCTCCCCGCCAACTGCCCAGCGACCTCCGCTTCAGAGAGGTCGACACTACCGTCGCCACAGCCACCACGGGGGCCCATAACTGGTCCGCCCCTCCCGGTGAAGCGCCCGGCGACCTCCCCTTCAGACAGGTCCCCAGTTCCACGTGCATGTTCGCCACAGAGCCCCATGACCGCTCCGTTCACCGGGATGCCCATTGCGGGAGCGGCTCGCGCATTCGCTGCGCATTGAGCCCGACGATCCCGCCGGCCGCCCATTGACGATTCGCCGATTCGAACCGCCCCGTCTGCGCAGATCGACGCGGGTGCGTCGTCCCAGACGATGCCCGTGGCCACTCCGCGCACCACACCGAGGGGTGAAGCCCCATGCCCGCCACTTTCCTCGCCACGTCGGTCCCAACTGACTGAAGAGGGCATTCGGCGAGGCGTAGAAGTCAATTGCTTCCAAATACTGCAATGAGAGATTCGGGGCGTGTTGTGAACAAGAAGGGGGCGAACGAGACCGCCTGCCGCAAACACGTGGGAGAACAAAGTTTGAGAGAGGACACGACAAGAGAGGCCGTGAAGCGGAAAGGGGCAGGAGACGCGATGCATGGCTTCCCACTCCCGCAAAAAGAGAGGATCGAGGCGAGTGCTTGTTTCATTGCGGATGATGAGGAGGACGTCCAACCGGGGATCGAACCGGATACCTCTGGCCGGGATGTCCCACTGCTCTACCAAGCCACCTGGCCAGGGGCAAGGAAGAGGCAATCTCACCCCTTCCGCCCATCAGTTGTGAAGAGAAGGGGCGGGCGCACGTTCGCGCATGCCACAGAAACGGGGGAGAGCTGAGATGGCATGCAGAGAGGACATGAAGCGACAACGGGAACGAGGCGGAGCACGGGAAGGGCGGCGCGAGCGCACGGCTGCACCTGGCGACCAGGCGCGGGGTCAGGATCGGCGGCGCCTGCGCGGCCGGGGAATGTGCGCGATGTGTGCATTCGCAGGACATGAATGTTTGGACAAAATTCGCGATGCGCGACAGCAATCTCCCTTGCGCACCGCCCGGAGAGTCGCCCCGGGCAAGGGAAGGTAAACAGAGAGGCGGCGCAGCGGATAAGAGGGAAAAGAGGCCATCCTGCCGTGCCGTGCGGAGGCAAGCAGATTGCGGCATGGCGCCCACGGCGCAATGTTCGGTGGCGTCCCGCCGGCGAGCAGATAGGGCACCATTGCATGGCAGTCGAGGCGGAGGCGATCGCGGAGGCCAGTCGCAAGGCGCCTCACCTTTGCGCCTGCCCTGCCGATGGTGTCTTCGAGGAGCGTGCGGCAAAGCGGAGCCAAAACTGGGGGGCGGCGGCTGTGCCCAGAGTTAAGCGCACCGCCGACGTGTGCGCCGAGCTGTTGCTGCGTGTGTTCAGCGCTTCTTGACAGCTTCACGCGCGCCCCCGTTGTTGGACGCCTTTCTTACTAATGGATGCGCACCTTAACTACTGACGCGTTTCGTTCACACTTGCACAGCGCGTATGGTAGTGGATCTACCAGAGGAGCGCCAGCAGCATGTGAAAGGGAAGTGTTGGGGACCAAAGTATTCCACTGCAAAAGGAAGCTGAAGCATAACTACAACAACCACCGTTGTCTTTCTTATTTCTGGAACAAACAGAAACGTTCTCTGTGCTTGCCAACCATGAGAACATTCAAGTTCACACTTAGAGCATTCACATTTGGCCATGTCAACACAGTACAAAGTTCAAAAAAGGCAACACATTGCAGTGGCATAACTCCCTGCCTGAGCATTGGCGATGAGGCCTTGTTGCAAACACTGCAATGTCAGGCCGATGCGAGTACTCCACAAGTCCTCGATCTGCATGTGCTATTGTTGCGCCAGCATGCTCTGCCTTTGCAATGAACAACTTAGCACCTTGTGCATCTGGAACTTCAACCTGCCAGCGCAAAGGGATCGCCTTCACTCACGGCATGTTATACTGTCCAAGGTAGACAGCACACTCCGCATCACATCAAACACATAGCGAAGGATCTTGGAAAAACCATGAGCAACTACACTGCAACCAAGAAAGCTTCCAGCCATGAAGCATACAAGGATGTGTCCCTAACGCTGACTGATGTGCTTTGCTTCCATTAACCCAGCAGGGCACAAGAACAACACACAACAGTGCTGCAGCCATCCCTGAGCCAATTTCATAACCAGCCAGCAGGGTCACAGTTCAGAGGATCTATAGAAAATAGAGAAATGCATTAATGGCAATATGACAGATTTATGGAACAAATAGAATAGAATAGCATCAATAGAATACATGAGAACGTCAGCACAAGCGAAAACAGCATCCAGCATCCACTCTGCACTTGCCTCCTTTCCACTCAAAAAACTCAGTGGGCAGCAATCCAGCAGTCAGAGCTTACCTGGGTTGGAAAGACAACAGGACCCCTGCGCGGTGACAGGATCACAGCAACAGTGTCCAGATGGGAGGCCATGCTCATTATGTAAGCACACAGCTCGTTCGATACCAATCCAACAAACTGTGGCTGGCTGACACCTCTTCGTAGTCCTCTTCAACCCTCACCTCGACCATAAGTGACACCAAGCTTTGCGTCTCACACACTGCCTGCAGCAGAAGCGACAGGACACAATGTATCGTGTCACAACTGGCCCCATGTTCAGTTCTCACAGCAGACACGTTGGGATGCTGCAAGACAGAAAGATGACAAGGGCAATCCAGTTGACATTGACCCCTGCATCCCAGGCACAGAATCTTGCATCCAGCCAAACATCTTATATTCGAGCACAGCATCATCAGCTGAGTATCCTAAATGCAATGCTTAGTCCATCCTTTACTACAATCTGTACATCCTGAAATTCAGTACTTTTTGTCCCATGCGCAGAAGTGAATTGCGAGCTGTATGCATCCACAGGGCTATCATTCTTACAATTTCAGAGGGTTATCGTTCTTGCCAGTAGGATTGAGGAACACACAGCACAATGCCCCCAACAGCTGCTGCATAAACCCTGCTTACCCCCAGTTTGGATGGTGCCCACCCTTGCTCATCCATTGCTGATGGCTGCACCACATCGAATTGCCTTAGTACCTCACAACAATGCCAACATGACACTTTGTGGAGAGTGTGTTTCCACAACGACAGCCACTGTTCTTGGCCACAAAGAAAGTCAAGACGGTCAAGGAACATCAAAGAAATTGGGACAACATCTTGGACTGCAATTTCTGCTTCTGCTGATTGGCAGTTGCTGTTTACAGTGTGCAGATGAACCACATATACTCCACAACACATATGAAAGAGAAAAGAAACTGGTGAGGCATTGAGACTGCCCATTACGATGTCATCTTGCAGCAGCCCATGCCCCCGCGCCAAGCTTTGCGTGCATGCACAGATTCCCCTGTAATCCTGCATGGCATTAGCATCCCACCTCGTATCTCCAATCCACTGGCAGCTGGTTCGGCCAACTGACAACTTCTGTCATGTTTGGCCTCTTTTCCGGATCCGTGGCACAACATCGCCTCATGAGATTTTCTCCAGCATTTTCTTAGGGCAGACGTTGCTCCCAATTTCGCAAGACTCTTCCCCCAGAAGCTTCTTTTTCATAACAGCCAAGCCAGCATTTGCTACAGGAGCCAATGCATAGGTTTTTTTTTTCAGACACAATTTCGTACAACACCACCCCAAAGCCGAAAATATCTGTAGCAGGCGTGAGTGGCCCACCATCGCAACTCTCCGGAGCAACTCACAGCAGACTGCCCTCCCCCCCGGACAGTTCTCCTTCTATCCCCCGGCACTGTAAACGACTGCCCCAGATCATTACTCTTCACCCAGGGCTCCGCTGATTTCATACCAAAACAAGAAAATTTGACGATTTCAAATCTTTATGTACCAAACCTGGGTCTTGGCTGTGCAGGTGGCACAATCCGGCGGCTGCTTGCTGAGCAAAAGCAATCTTTGCGTTCCAATCCATCGCTGTATGAGCACATGCCTCCTGCACCTTCACGACGGCATGACTTTCCCAGGCTGCTTCATGGCGACCCTGCTGCGGTCACGCATCCAGGCAACTTCTCCCAAACCACGGAGCTGCTCCTCACACCGGCAGGCGCGAATCGGGGACTGCTGGCGAGCTTCCCCAGGCTGTTTCATGGCGACCAAGCTGACTTGATGCATCCAGAAAATTGCCCATAAAGGCACTTTAGCCGCTTTAGGCCTCCTCTCCTCGACTGTGCATCAAACGGTGCCGCCGATCCGATCGCTTTTGAACCTGGAGGGGACAGTGGCCCCCTGGAGTAGGGGCGACAACTTTCTCCTTTCGTTTTGCGGGCCGGGGCAGATCTGGGGGCGACTCTTTTGGAGCAGGGAGGCACGGGATCTTAAGTGACAAGACGCAAAGGGGTTCACAGCGGGGGCGCTCGTGGGTTGGCGGGTGCAGAGTTGCACAGAATTGGAGCTGCGGAAAAATGGCGCCTGTTGTGGGATCAGTACAGGGGGGGGGGGGGGGATCCACAAATCATTTCCAGGACGCCAATTGACCACAAATGACGCTTACTGGTGTTAAGCCGGTGATCGCAGCACGGCAGACGGGCCCTCGCAGGGTGCCCGGTGACACGGTCAATAACGCTTTGTCAGTAACGCTTCGCCGCCGATGGCTACGGCATGAACCCCATTGCTTGTTACACGAAGTGTTATTTTGTACATTCGGATTACCTCGTATGTTTTGCAAGGAATTTGGCAAGCCAACCTATTTGAGGGCCGCCACCTAAAACGGACATTCCACTGGCCGCCCCAGCTATTCTGGCTTGGCCATTCCTGAATGAAATTCTATGATCTTCCCATATCCACTCTGATCCCACAATTAATACCAATTCCTTCTAACTTCCCAATCACAAACTTCTAGGCTAGCGCCCTGGCCCCATCTGCCCGCCGCCGTTCCTAGGGTCCCTAACCGCTACCCATATCCCTCACTCTTCCTCTACTGCCTCTATTGCAGCTCCCTCCCATTGCCCCGCTAATTACATGCCCCACTCTCATTTATTCATAATGTACCGGTTTAGACGGTACATGGGGTAATAATACGATATCCGGTCCAATGGGACTTCGGATATCGTATTCTAACAATAATAATAATAACCCAGACCAGGGCGGTGGCCGCCAG